ACTTCGTCGAGTGTCTGACGCGCTTCATCCCGACGGAGGCCGAGGTCAAGCTGCTTCGGCAGTACGAGAGGGACAGGAAGCCGCTGGAGGCTCTGAGCGACGAGGACCGCTTCATGATGCAGTTCAGCCGCATCGAGCGGCTCAGCCAGCGCATGACCATCATGACCTTCATGGGAAACTACGCAGACAACATCCAGATGCTGACGCCGGTAAGGAAACCAAAAAACACTGCAGAGGTTCAGAGAAAACCCAAAACTGACCGACTGTGCTTCCTTCTCAGCAACTCCACGCCATCATCGCCGCGTCGGTGTCCATCAAATCGTCTCAGAAGCTGAAGAAGATCCTGGAGGTCGGTGCGTTTGGTTTGATTTCCAGCCTGAAGCGATCTGAGGTAACGTCTCTGCTGTTTGTGGCGCAGATCATCCTGGCTCTGGGGAACTACATGAACAGCAGCAAGAGGGGAGCCGTGTACGGCTTCAAACTGCAGAGCTTGGACCTGGTAACCCGTTCACACCACAGGGGCAGATACCCGGGGCGGCAGCAAGGAGAGGGCGCTCAAACACGAGGAAATGAAACGATTCATCGATTAAAACCAATTTAGCAAATAATTAATCGTTGACTCAAACAGACAAACTCCATAAAATCAGATTAAAAATCAATCAGAGGTAACCAAAAACTAAAATAAAGGAAGAGCAGCACGACTTCAACATGTTTTTACTGGAAATGTTGGTGTTTTAGGATGAAAATGATAACAAACTTGCAAACATTTATATGCACTGGAGTTTCCCTTTCTGCTGCTGAAATTTTTCAACTTTTAAAACACAGAAAAATCCCCCAAAAATGTGTTGGTTTTTTTTAGAATTTTGAGATTAATCTCAGAAATTTTCTAGAAAAATTTGGAAATGTTTGAGCTTCAAAAGTAAAAGAAATTAAACTTTTTTTCTTGCAATTTTTTTACTGTCCAAGCTCAGATATTTCCAACTTTTTCTTTAAAAATTTCTGAGACTAATCTTAAACTTTGAGATTTTTTTTTCTGCAAATTTTCAACTTTTGAAAGTTAGAAATTTCAATGTTTTTTTTTTCTAGAAAATTAATGAGATTTATCTTAAAATGTCTGATAGTCATCTAAAAATGTCAGTGTTTTTTGGCGGATATTTCCTCCTCTCCTCCCTGCTGTGGCCCTTATGCGTCATGTTTCATGCTCTATGGATGGAAAAGTAAGTGCACCCCGGGTTCAGATATCAGGTCTGTTTGCTTTCAGCTGCTGGAGACCAAATCGACGGACCGGAAGCAAACGCTGCTCCACTACATCTCCAACGTGGTGCGAGAGAAATATCCCGGAGTCACGCTGTTTTACAACGAGCTGCATTACGTGGACAAAGCCGCCGCAGGTGAGTCCGTCAGCCAATCACAGCGCAGCAGAGCCCGGCTGACCTGTCTTCACCTGCCTGGTCTTTGCAGTGAGCCTGGAGAACGTCCTGTGTGACGTAAAGGAGCTGCAGCGCGGCATGGAGCTCACCTGGAGGGAGTTCAGCGTTTCCCACAATGCAACACTGAAAGACTTCATCAGCAGGAACGAGTCCCGCCTCAACAAGCTGCAGGAGGACGCTCGCATCGCGCAGGTGAGGCCGACTCGGTTAGAACATCACACTGATGAACTATGACACTAAAATGACGCCATGTCAGGTTGAGTTCAGATCTTTAGGAGGATTTCTGACCCAATTTTCCCAACAATCTTAAATCAGTGACAGATCTTAAGATAATCTTAAAGTTCGCATATTTTGATTCCTTGAACAGGCTAGGATCGGTCAGTGGCCTAAACAAATCATGTTTGTTACATTTTTTGCACAAAATCATTTTTAGAAAATTAGATTTTAGTCTGATCAGTTCTGCTTTTTCTGATCTCTCACTTTAAATGCAAATAAGCTGCTGCTGGCCACGCCCCCAACTCAATGTTAACGTTCACACGTATACAGAAAAAGGGAATTTCTGCCAAAAAAAATCTGAAATTTTGTGATCAATCTCAGAAAAAAAACAGAAATTTCTGAATTCAAAACTTTTCGGCTTTTGAACATTTTCTCAGTTTTGACTTTTGAAACTAATAAATTTCCTTGTCTTTTCAAGAACATTTCTGAGATTACTATAAATATTTGAGTTTTTTTTTTTTACTTCAATTGTTCAACTCAGAAATGTCCTAGATTTTCCTAAGAGATCCAAAGAGATTAATCTTTGCTAAAAAAAAAATCTCAGAAGTATCCTAAGAAGAAAACATGGACATTTCTGAAGTCGAAAATTTTGGAATTTAGAAACAGAAATTTACAGGCAGGTTTTTATTGAACATTTCTGAGATTTATCTAAAAATTTCAGATTTTTGTTTCTAGTAAATGTCCTCGTTTTCTCTAGAAAATTTCAGATTTTTTGGCAGAAATTTACTTTTTTTTCTACCCATAGTGACCCTATAACTCGCCGTCACAGTAAGGTGTTTGGTTTTAACCCCAGCTGCCAGTGAGTCCTCTGGTCTCTGATTACCGTACTGACTGACTGTTACCGTAACTCTGGTAGAAATGAGCCAGTCATGTTTGTGTTGTGTGGTTGATCTGCAGGACGCCTTTGAAGACGCCGTGAAGTTCTTTGGAGAGAGCTCCAAAACGATGCCACCATCCGTCTTCTTCCCCATCTTTGTCCGCTTCATCAAGGCCTACAGGGTGAGTGCCAGGATGGGGGCGTGGCCTGTTGACCGGAAGCCCCTCCCACATTTGTAACAAGAAGTGGACGTTTGAACTAACAGGAAGTGTGTTTAGGTGGCGGAGGAGGAGAACGAGCAGAGGAGGCGCCAGGAGCAGATGCTGCTGGAGAAACTGGAGCAGGAGGAGCAGCAGGAGGAGGCGGAGACCAAGGTGCCAGCTAACAAACTAAATATTTAGCTTGGAGATAAATATTATGTTGGTAGGCTAAATATTTAGATAGTAAAGAGTTAAAGACTCAGTTTGGAGCAAATTACTTAGCTAACTAACTAAATGTTTAGCTGTGAGTTAGCTAAACATTCACTTTGTAGCTAACTAGTTAGCTTGCTAACTAAATATTTAGCCTGTTAAAATATTTAGTTTAAACTTTTCATTTCTAAATGAATGAATAATGTGGTGAAACCCAGAGAACCGGGTCGGCCTGTGTGACCCTGCATGTCCGTTACGTTGTGTCAGTCAGGAACTCATTCTGGTTTATTAGTCTTATGAAGTGTTGGACCTTCATGACCCCTGACCTTTCCCTCCGCCTCCTCCCAGTCTCCATCGCACAAAGGCAAGCGGCAGCAGCAGGAGCTGATCACTGAGCTCAGACGGAAGCAAGGCAAAGACAGCCGGCATGTGTACGAAGGGAAAGACGGCGCCATCGAGGACATCATCACAGGTAACACTGTCACTATGGTAACCATGGGGCCAGGAGTCAGCCGGCGCTCTCCTGACCGGCGGCTGTGTTTGGTCGTTTCAGCACTGAAGACGGTTCCCTTCACGGCCCGGTCGGCCAAACGCAGCTCTCGCTTCTTCTGTGACCCCGCCCACTCTGAGGAGCATTACTGAGCTGGCCACGCCCACTCCGGAGCAACGGGACCAATGAGCACTTTGAACTTTCTGATGGTTAATGTGAACGGATCATGTTTTTGTTTCCTGGTCGCTGGCCGGGAACCCAGACCTGCTGCGGACCTCTGGTGCTTTCAGAACAAACCCAAATGCCACCAAACACGGTGGAGGCAACACCGACCTGAACGTCTGAAACCCATGAGCTGGTAGAGGTCTGATTCAAACGTAAGGTGCCATTAAACCCTCCTGGGTTGAGTTTACCATGGTGCTATAGACCTCCCCTCCACCGGGGGCGCTGCAGGTCGACAGGTCTGAGGTTCTGTGGTGGTTCTGGGTTCCTCCGTCTGCGTCCGCTTGTACAGGGTTCAACTCTTCTCACTACGTCGTATGCTTCTATCTTCTGCTGTATTTACTGGCCTTACAGATCCACAACGCCGGGCCGTAGAACCCAAATCAACTGGGTCTCCAGAACCCAAACAAACTGTGTCAATCTGGACCTTTACTCCTGAAGAAACACCTTTGTTCCTCAGATGATCCACCTGAGACTCAGCAGAGTCGGGAACATCAACTAGAAATCAGTGTTTCTGCCTCTGGTGGGTCCAAAAGGTGCTGCAGGCAGAACCAGCAGGCTTCTGTAATTTGGACCCAACAAACGGCGAAATGAGCTGCAAACAGGAAACAAAACAAAAACCAAACGCAACAGAAAAATGCTGCAACCACAGGAGATGGAAACTCAATGAAGAATGCCTCAAATACTAAACACAGAATTCCTCCAGACCACTAGAGGGAGTCTGGAGCAGAGAATGTTACCAACGCAAATATGCTGCTGTTCTGCAGAACTGAAAAGGCTGAATTTTTACAAGATAAGGGAAGCATAACAACTTTTCTTCCCTCCTCCAGTTTTACTGGCTCCACATGATTTGTTGGTCGACTCCCCCTAGTGGTCTGGAGGACTTTTGTTTTAGTGGAGCAAGTTTGCAGTATTTTATTCGACACTGTATTTTAAACATTGTAAATAAAAATTTATTAATTAATTTAAATGCATAAATTCCTGCCAAAAACTCAGAAAATTTTCAATTAACCTTAGAAATCTTCTAGAAAAATCTTGGAAATCTTTGGAGTTTCAAAACTGGAAATTTTTCACTTTTGAATCTCAAAAATTTCCAAATATTTTCTAGAAAATTTAAGAGATACATCTGTAAATTACTGAGTTTGTTCCTGCAAATTTTAAACTTTTGGAGCTCAGAAATTTCATCGTATTTTCTAGAAAATTTCTGAGATTAATCTAAAAATTTCAGGAAAGTTTCTAGCAAATTTCTGACCTTTGAAAGTCAGAAATTTCCCTGATTTTTCTCCAACATTTCAGAGATCAATCAAGATGAATTTCAGAGACCGGTTCTCCTGGGTCTGAATTTTTTTTGTTGTTTTTTTGGTATAAATTTACTACAATGGTCCCAATACGCTGTTGTAGTTTTATACTCGCTGTTAATATTTTGTGGTATTTTTCCCCCTTGTTCCTTTTTTGCAGTTTTATTGATTTTAGGTTTTTCTTCTTCTCTTGATTTTGTTTGCATGGTGTTTTTGTTTTTTGCAGTTTGAATTCTTCACGTTTGCAGCTCGTTTGGTCGTTTGCTGCATGTTTGCACCCGCTGCTGTATAATCCATGTAAACACTTAAGAATCACCAACTGGACCGGGGTCGTCAGAGCAGAACCTGTTCTGTTCCTGCAGCATCAGCACTAGTGGTGCTCTCACTGTCCCCCACCTCCGGCCCGTTTTTAGTTATTTTCAGTCCAAACTTTCCAAAAGTTGAGAGCACAAAGTTTTCTACCTGTACAGACATTTTCTAGAAGGTTCTGTAGCTTCTCTGTCTGTCTGTGTTGTTGTTGCTGTCATTTTGCACTAGGTGTGGAAATAAAACAAACCCTTCTGCATCACGACGCCGTCAGAGACTACAACTCCCAGCATGCATTGTGCTCAGCTCTGCCTTTATTACAGAGTACAGGTGATTAGTGTAAAATCATTTATTGATCCAGTTTGATCATTAATCAGCAGCTTTATTGACGATCAGACGACTCCTGCAGGTCACCCGCTGAATGCGTTTGATGGTCGACCTTTGACCCCGAGTCCCGTCACCTGCACACAGACACAGCAGAGGTCAAAGCAGGCCTCCGACAGGTGGAGGAGAGGTGGGGGGCGGGGCTCTCACCCTGAAGGTGTTCCCGGCCTGCGGCTGTTTCTGGAGCTCTGATTGGTCCAGACCCAGGCTGGCTGAGGTCACATAGAGGTCAGAGTAGTCTGGGCCGCCGAAGCAGCAGGAAGTGGTCTTTGTGGCGGGCAGAGACACCGTCTGTAGGCGTTTACCTGAGAGGAGAGGAACGTCCAGTTTAACCAATGAACAACACGATTAAACCAGTGAACTCCACCAGTGTTAGCCCTGGTCCACTGGGTCCACTGGGTCTACTGGGTCGGCTCCTGCTGAGTCACTCTGAATAATCTGCTGTAATCTGGAAAGATCAAAGCTGCGCCCATAAAATGTTTAATGGTTGAAAGTCCAACAGCTTGAACTGGATGACCGGATCCGTCTGGTTCTGTTTGACCCGAAATTCAGAAAATATTAAGAATTTTTCTTTTTATCTGGTAAATCGGATCAGAACCATCTGACAAGTTTTTACAGAAAAACAGACTTGGTCACATCCATCCATCATGTTTAGGAAAATACAGAAACATCTGCAGAAGAAAATTATAATTTTTATTTATGAATTAACTAAAAACATTTTAAACATTTAAAACAATAAACAGAGGAGTTCCACCTGGGTGTGTACTTGGTACCTTTCAGTGCCGACTATAGTGAATAGTTTTTATGTTATTTTGTTTCAAAATATAAAACAAATGTTAAAACGACAAGTAACCAGTCCTCCCAGTCTGACTGACCAGTCGCAGGGTCGATGTTGAGGACTCGTCCTCCGTCGTAGCACGCCACCCAGAGGCGGCCGATGGCGTCGAGTGTCATCCCGTCGGGAACGCCCTCCCCCTCCGCCAACCGGTACACCACCCGACGGTTACCTAGACGACAGACAAACAGACAGGTAGCATGGAAGCGAAGCGGACGGAGGAGTCAGGTGAGGCTCCAGGCGTTGCCATGGTTACGGCGTGGTTACCCAGCTTTCCAGAGGCCGAGTCGTAGTCGAAGGCGTCGACGCTCATAGCCAGGCTGTCGATGTAGAAGAGCGTCTTCAGGTCTGTAGTCCAGTCCATCCCGTTAGAGATGTCCACCTACCAGGTGAGGGACAGGTGAGGCCCCGCCCACTGGCTGCAGGTACGCAGACAGACTGTAGGGGACGCCGAAAGGTGAGCCTACCTGGCCCAGCAGCTTGGTGACGGACAGGTCAGACTTCATCAGGTACAAAGATCCTGGTTTCACCTGAGCCGTCTGAGCGTCCCTCCTCATCGTACCTGAGGGAGGAAGAACATCGCCATAGTAATGGGTGACCAGGTGAGTCAGCAGCAGACAGGCGTGCAATACCTGCCAGCAGCCGTCCCATCGGATCGGCCTTCCCGTCATTCAGGCGGTTCTCTGGCTTGTCGTCTTCGACGCTGGCCAGTGATGTCACCTTCTGAGTCGACCAATCAACAGCCACGATGCTGCAGCCCACGCCTGCGACGTAACCGCCGGACCGGCGAGGGACTGCGAACCCCACCGTGTCAGCTGAGGAGAGGAGCAGAGCGGTGACAAGCGGCCAGGTGAGGCAGCTTCAGGTGACGAGGAGACGCCCACCTGTCTGCAGAGACTGGATCTGATTGGTCGCCGAGTTCCAGCGGTGGATTTTCTGCCCGGCGATGTCGACGAACAGCAGCGTCTGCTCTGACTCCTCCCACACCGGCCCCTCGCCGATCTGAGCGTGCTCCTTCACCACGGACTCTACCTTCACCGACGACATCTCACCTGTCTGCTGGAGCCAATCACTGAGCAGGCGCGCCAACCAGGCTGTTTCTATGGAAACCAGCAGAGGCAGGGTCACTCTGGGGCAAAACACAGCTGAAGGAATAAAACTAAAAAAGTTCTCTAAGTTTTCTGACTGTCATAATGGACATAATACAAGAGAAGTTTAGTCACATTTAATTTCAGACGGAGAATTTTCTAATTTCTGAGATTAATCTCTTTTTTATAGCAAATTTTTGACTTCTGGAGACCACAAATTCCCTTGTTTTTTTTGTTTTTTTTCAAAAAACATTCTAGAAAAATACGTGGAAATTTCTGAGCTGAAAAAAATTTAAGAGATTTTCAACTTTGGAAATTTTATGACTTTACTCAAAAATGTTCACATTTTCAGTAGAAAATTTCTGAGACTAATTTCAAATTTTATTGTTTTCTTTTTTTGTGCAAAATTTGACTTTGGAGCTCAGAGAATTTACAAATCATAAATGCTAGACAATGCAAGCTCAGAAATGTTCACTTTTCACAATCTACACCTTCTAAAGAAAGTGAAATTAATCTCTAAATTTCTGAGTTTTTTTTTTTTTTTAAACAAAATCCTGATTTTTCAAAGTTAGAAATTTCCATGTTTTCTTTAGAAAATTGCTGAATTTTCTGACGGAAATTTACTCACCCAGTTACCAGGGGTGAATAAATTTCACTCACCCGTTTCTAGCTACAACGGCAGCAATATACTATCATAGTACATTAAGAGTACTCTTAGTACTGCAGTAATAACAGGATACTGTACAGGTGATATGACTATAATAGTACCACAGATAAAAATACCTAGAATTATTTCACTCTATTTAAAACTAAGTAAAAAGTGAATATCTATATTAAAATGAATGTATATTTCTAGAAGTATGTACAATGCATATTACATTATTTAATGAGACATTTATTTTTCATAGCGTTTTTTTTATTATTATTATTTTGACCCTTTTGGCCCTCCTTACAAGAATAAATGTGAAGATGTGAAATACTGCGGTCCTATAACACGTACTCCGGTACTATCAGACAGCAGAACTATCAGATGTGATAGGTTAAAGGTTAACCAGACCCTGACTCAGCTTTTTCTGATGCGGTCCAGCTCTAGGGTTCTGATTCTGACCCAATTCTGGTTTCACTTGTTCCGTTCCTTCCGCTTCTAACTTCAGGAGGCGGAAGTGGACCTGCTGATGTGAGCTGAGCTGGTCCGGGTCGGATCAGAACACGAGGCTGACCAGTGCCTCCCGTTTTCGAGCTGCGCCTGAACGCACCATAAAACTCTGCAGAAGTCTCATGAAACCAAACTGGACTCAAAGCCGGACCAGAACCTCGCCTCTGGTACTGGTCGCTCAGCCCGGTTCGGAACCAGTCGGTCCTGCACCTGAACACCTGGACCCAAAGGAAACTACCTACCTGTTGCAGAACTTCGGAGTTCGCTGCAGAAGTTCTGGCCGAACCGACCTGTTTGTACATCTGCTGATACAGGCCACGCCCCCACTCCGCCCCGAACCGAACCGCCCCCTGGGTCCCGCAAACTTCTGGCCTGGGCCCAAATCACGCTCGAATCTGGACCCAGTCCAGATTGAATGACTAATCAACCAATCAGGGCTCAGATTCAGAGTCTTCTGAGTTCGGTTCTGCTGTGAGCAAAGAGCCTGAGGTCACTTGACCCAGCAGCTGGCTGAACAGAACCCAAGCAGCTGGTTTTTCTCCAGAAAACACTGAAATATCCCTGAAGTTCGGTTCCAGAGTGGTTCTCTTGGTCTCATTTTTTAATCACTGCGGACCAGCAGGGGGCGCCGCCTCTACGGGTGCCAGTTCTGACCCGGAGCGGCTCAGTGTCCAGTTTATATCTCAGAATTGAACGTCTGGTTCGGTCCAAACACAAAGTCCACCGGGCTTCAAAGTTTCTGACTTATTCACAAACAAATGAAACGTGGCAGGTATCTACCTAGACATGCATTCCCACAAACACGGCGGTAAAGTCACACATAGTTAGCACCAAAAATACATATGTACCGTAGTTAGCTAGCTAGCTAGCTAGCTACAAAGGTAACTGTTTAGCTCCTCATTAAGTTATGTTAGCTTGGCAGGTAAATATTTAGCTCCAAAATAAATGTGCAGTTAGCTAGCTAGATAACAACCTTAAGTTTGGAATATGTAGATGGTAAAATAAATAGTTTGCAAGCTAAATATTTAGCTTTTTACTTAACATTAAATTTGGAACTAAATATATTGTCAGAAAACTAAATATAGCTAGTTTAGAGTTAAATATTTAGTTTGTAGATAAATATTTGGTTGGTTAATCAAAGGTTTAACTAACCCCCATTTTTTCCTCTTATGACAGACTAACCCAAATTGCTGCCGTTATTTCTTGACTGTGTAACTTTACAAACAAACCACATAGTGTCAGCATCATACTGTGGGATGGTTACGATCAAAGCAGATTCATGGGATTGTGTGGCCTAGTCAAAGTTCAAATCTGAAGCCAGCAGAAAACTAGTAGAACAGGCACACAAATGGGAACAACGGGTCGGAAACAGAAGAATTTATTTAGCGGACTGTGTTAGCGCTGCTAGCTGCAGGAATCGGCGGTGACTTGGACTCGATTTGGGTCACTTCTTGGCGGCGGTGACCCGGGCCCTGTTCAGCTTGTCCATCAGCAGCCGGTCGGAGGCGGAGCATCTGGAGAGGACCGCTCCCATCTCAGCTTCATTCTTTCGCTCAATGGCGGCGTCCGCTGCCCCCTCCAGGTCGCTGACAGCCAAAGAGGAAGAAGAGTGAGCGGTGGGCAGGGCTCCACTGCGTGATGATGTCACAGGTGTGGTCTTACCCCACGGCCAGGTGAGCTTTGACCTTCTGCTCAGGTGTGACCTTGCTGACGTACTTCTTGGCTTCATGCCTGTTGTTGTTCTTCATGCACACCTCCACGAAGGCCTGAGGACAGGTAGGCAGCAAGGAATAAAGGGAAATGCAGTTCAGTGTTAAAGGGGGCTGTTAGGGCGGGGCTTCTCTCACCAGGTAGCCAATAGGAGACTTCTTGCTCTTGGAGAACTTCTCTAGCTCCTCCCACTGCTCCTTCTCAGCCAGAGACTTCAGCTTCAGCCACCAGTACCTGAGCAGGTAAGACAGGAAGTGAGGCACCTTCAAAATAAAATATTTCTGTCAATCCAGCCAATCACAGCCCGGCCTGCCGTGACGTCACACCTTTTGTCCGGCACTCTGAAGTCTCTGTAGAGCTGCTCTGCTTGCTTGTGGAGACCCAATGACATCAGAGCCTCCATGGTGGCCTGCACAGAAAGTGACATCACTCAGTAACCCCAGGCCTGTCTCTGATTGGTCACCTGTGTTTACAGATACCTGCAGGGAGAGTCCCAGAAGTCCCGCCCCCTTCTCGTCATCCAGCTTCCTTTGGAATCGAAGGAGGCGCATTTCCTCCTCCGTGGCCTGAAGGACAGGAGACATCAGAGACCGTCCACACCTGGTGGACACACACCTATTGGACAGGTGAGACAGTTACCTTGGCAGCAAAGTCGTTCTTGGCCTTGTTGTACTCGTCCACGGCGCTCTGCAGCTGCGCCAGCCGACCCTCGAGCCTCTGGACGAAGACAGAAGGGACAGGTAAGGACGAGGACAGCTGTCCACCTACCTGTCCAGGTGAGAGCGGCTCACCTTGTCCCTGTAGCTGGACGTCACGTAGAAGTTGCCCAGCTCCTGGTGGTCGTCGTCCTGGTTGTACAGGTCCTTCAGCGTCTGAGGCTCCTGCAGTTTGCAGAACTGGAGACACGGAGGACACGGTCACTCATCTCCATGGTAACCAACAGGAAACATCTGCCTGGTCTTTGTTTACATGTCTAGGACCGATTTAGTGATCCTGAGAGACTTTTTGGCTTTCAGAAGGCTAAGCCTCCTTGTCATGACCTTTGACCTCCAGTATCTCCATAGTGAAGTGGAGGTCAGGAGGTCCAAGTGCGCTCACCTGTCTGTAGAGGCTGAGCGCCACCGGCTGGTTCCTCAGAGTCATGAAGAAATCTCCTCTGTTCATCTCGTTCTTCAGGTACGTCACCACCGTGTAAACTGGAAACACACACACAGGTCAGCTTGCTCACCTGGCAGGTGGCTGGGGGCGGAGCCTGAGGCTTACCCAGGTCGGTGTCGCCGCTCTCCACGGCTTTACTGAGAGCTAGCTGGCTCCTCTTCATCTTCAGCAGCAGAGGAACCTGCTGTCCGGACCGGGCCTCGAAATCCAGCAGCTGCAGAGTGGAAGGTACCGACACGTTACTACAGACGGCATGAAGAGGACACTGAGGTTTGAACCCTACAGAGCAGCGGCAGCAGCAGCAGCGTACCTTGATGGCGAGCTCCGGCCGTCCACATTCATACGCTTTAGCTGCGATGTCCGAGTACGAAACTCCAGGTGAGTCTCCCACCTTGGCACAGACTGCTCGGGCTATGGCCTCATCGGTCAAGTCCTTCTGCTGCACCTGGACACACACACACACACAGGTGAGGGGACAGTTGGAGACAGGTGGAGACAGGTGGAGACGGGGTGTTACCTTGCAGGACGCCCAGTGCTTCAGGACTCGACTGACTCCCTGGTAGTCTGGGATCTTCAGGTAGTGACAGACCTCGATGGCCAGAGGGTAGAACTGCCGGTAGACCAGCCTGAGGGACAACAGGAGACACTGAGGAGGACGAGCTGGACAGAAGTCAAGTTGAGGACAGGGTGGCCAGATCTAACAGTCTTTCCTGTTTTATCCAGTTTTCTCTCCTCTCTGCTGTTTTTTATTTTTAATCAGTTTTAATTAACAGTGGCTAAACCTTAATTAGCAGCAGGTTGTTGCTAGGCAACCAAAGAGTGAGGGAGTTAGTTGATTCCACCAACCTAGTTTAACCTAGTAAAACACCAAATGTTGTGAAAAGCAGCTCAAGTTTTAACAACACGCCAACCTGGAAACAAGGAGACTCACCTGTCTATCAGGACCTGAAGGGTCATCTGTTTAAATCTGAGGTCAGAGGTTAAAGAGCATCTCACATATATCTAATATAAACCATGTAAAAGTTTAAATATCCAAAACTAAAGGAAATATAAACAAAAACTAATTGAAACAAAAACACTATTCAAAACAGATTTGAAAAAAGGAACTTTATATCCAGAAAAGACAGTTTATGGAAAAATCTTGACAGATCAAACAATCTAAATTCTGCTTTTAAAAGAAAATCAAGATGAAGTGAAATGGTGTTGAATAAATATGCAGTGAAATTGAACCTGTGAACAGAAATAACCCCAGAACTCCATCTCCCATGATGCACCAGGGCAGGATACTGAGTGTGTGTGAGCGGCATCCCCACGCTGCTCTCTCTGACGGCGTTCAGAACCCGCAGCTCCCTGCAGGTCATCACGAACTGATCCGGGCTGAACTCCGTCAGGAAGCACTTCCCAAAGGACGCCGCCTAGTGGAGAGAGGCCGCATTAGTCAGTCAATCAATCAAGTTCACTTTGAATAGAATATTTCAGCAGCAGCAGTGAGACCAGTAACGTTACGTTTTGTCGAGTGTCATCATCAGAGTGATCTAAATATGTCGATTAATGTTTCATTTGTTATGTTTCAGTAGCAGCTCAAACCAGGTTCAGTCTGGATTTGAAGGAACTCAGTGTTTCGCCTGTTTTGCAGTTTTCTGGAAGTTTGTTCTGAATGCTGCTTCTCTATGTTCAGCAGATCTTTAATGTGTTTTGGTTCTAAGACGTTCAGTGACTTATAAACTAACAGCAGGATTTTAAAGTTTATTCAGGTGACAGAAGGCCGACTTTGGAACCATCTTTATGTGGCTCTGAAGGTTCAGGTCAAAGCTTCAGCCTGATCTCTAGTTTCCAGCTGGAATATCTGAATCTGTGCCCTGACTCTAGATCTAGAACTCTAGATTGTTCCTCTTTAGATCCAAAGATAACTTCAGTTTTGTTTCTGTTCAGATGGAGAAAGTTTTGGTACATCAACACATTAATCTGTTCTTAGCATCTGTTCAGTGATTGGATGGTTCTGTGATTCTGGCTGTGGTTCTGGTTCTGGTGACCTCACCCTCATCAGGGCCTTCTGGGTGTCAGGGTCATACTCGTGAGTGGCCGCCTCCACACACTGCCGGACGGCGTCTCCCAGGACGTTCTGCTCCTTGATCTCCCTCAGGTACTCGTCCGCCTTCTGACTGGACTTCTGCTCAGACAGGAGGGATCAGAACCACGGGTCTGGGTTGCCACCAGCAGCACCAGTGTGACCAGTGTGACCAGTATACCTCGTACTCCCGGTGGGCCTCCAGCAGCAGCGCTCCAGGGGCCATGGAGGCGATCTTGAAGATGTCCTGGCAGACCAGAGGAACCTCCTGCAGCAGCTCCTGGCTGCTGGAGCTGATGATCCGAACCCCATCCAGTTCGCCCACCAGCACCGACTGGTCCTCCAGGGGGAACCTGGTTCAGGGTCAAGGGTCAACCACACTAACAACCTGCTCTGGGTCCAATCTGAGCTCAGGTCAAGGATACTGGATGGTGTCGTTACAAGATCCCACCACCAGGAGGAGCCGGTCCCACATCAACACCACCGAGGGCTGCTGGGACCTCGGCCTGCGGCACCTGGACAGGTAGACGGGTTCAGAGGTCAACAGACAGGCAGGTAGACAGGTGCAGAGGTAGAGAGGTCAACTGGTAGACAGGCCCAAAGTGGTCAGGTGGACAGGTTCAAAGGTCAACGTACCAGACCATCTGTCTGGGCGTCGCTGCCTGCTTGGTGTCCACCTCACTCAGTCTCTCCTGCAAACAGCAGAAACCTGTCAGATCCCACACAGGTGTGGCCCCGCCCCTCCACACAGCAGCCTGCCCACCTGTAGGTTGGACAAGCCGGTCCACAGGCGCCCCGTCTCGGTGAACAGAGCCAGATATTTGTAGCTGAAGGAGACAGACATGTGGACGATGCTGCCAGCCTGAGGACTGAGACCTGGAGGATACTGAGGACAGACAGGTGGTGAGACAGGTGAGAGTCCTCAGCTCACCTGTCTGTCTGAGGAGCAGAGGGCCTACCACAGCCGTGCAGGACGTGTTGTCCAGGACGTAGAGCTCAGGTCCACTGGACACCAGGACTTTGGTCTGTCTGTCCTGAGTGAGGACGGCCCAGCAGGACGGCCTGCCCTGGAGACCTGAGGGGACAGAAACAGGTAGGGGACGGGTAGAGGACGCCTGGATGGGCTGTCCTCCAGCCATCCTTACCTGGGACCTCAGGTAGCCTGCGCAGCTTGAGGTCCTCGATGTTGGTTGCCAAGGTGAAGCGGGAGGAACCCGTTACTATGGCGACGCCTGTTCCATACGGCGAGTGGAACACCTTGGCCTCCAACACCTGACTCTGGACCACTTCCTGTTTGTCACAAAGAGAACCAGTTAACAGGGTCACAAACACACACCTGTCCAAGACCCACCTGTCCCTCACCGATGTCTCTGACTGGACCCACCTGTCCCATGCTGAAGTGTCTCTTGAAGGACCCAAACAGGTCATAGATCAGAACCGTCCCGTCCTCCTGAACACACAGCAGCTCGTCGTTGACGGACCAGCCCAGGTAGACCACCGGACCGCTCTTCCACTGAAAAACAGGTGAGACAGGTGAGGGACAGCACAAGGTCACTCTGGGACGGGTGCTGTGTTGGACGCGTCTCCTTACAGGGAAGCTGGTGATGGACACTCCGGAGGCGGAGTAGATCTCCAGCTGAGGACGAGTGCTGGGGGAACGTCTGAGCGGCTCTCTGAGCAGAGCTGGGACACAACAACAGGGTTACAACTAGTGGGGGAGGGGGGGCTTTTCTAACTCTGATTGTGTCACCATGGTAACAGACTGTGAAGACATGAAGCCTGGTTGAACCTCACTGTGTTTGTGACCAGAGTCACTCCATGTCTCCACATAACTACATAACTGAATAAAGTGACCAAGTCCAGGTAAACCATCGGAACCAGAACCCACCGATTGGGCCTCCATACGGAGCTGCTGCAATCAGACTGTCCCTCAGTCCATCCCGGAGGCTCCAGAACATCTCATAGAGTTCCGTCTTCCTGCAGAGACAGAACCGGGACAGTTTAACACCAGAACCAGCAGAACCGACCAGACTCTGTTCATTTCTGCTCAGGTTTCAGCTCATTCCAGGTAACCGGGTCTCTGTGTGACAAACAGAACCGGTCCGAACCCGGATCCTGGCAGGCAGACATCCGATGGTTCCTTCGGCTCTAGTCTGGGTCCATAAGAACTCACCTGGAGAGGAAGGGGGGACAGGTGTGCTGTGTGGCGGAAGCTAGCTTTAGTCATGTGACTAATGTGACCGGCCAAAGCAGTTCTGTAAACAGAGCAGGTTCGGACCCAGCAGGATCTGACCCAGCTGCAGAGCGGAGCCCCAGGTGTTTCGCGCCAGGTGTGTGTGGTACTGACCGGTAGAAGGCGTCTCCCAGCGGGTTCCAGTTAGCGGTGATGAAGGCCATGCTGAGGAGGATGAGAAGGAGGAAGAGGAGGTCTGGGTCCGCACAGAGGAGCTGGTTCTGCCGTCTGACCAGAACCGAACCGCAGGATGAGGCAGGGGTTCGGCAGCACAGACGGGCTGTGGGTCAGCTGACCTGAGCCTCCAGGACGGAGGAGCCACCGTTCTCAGAACCGAATCACTTCCAGAACCGGACCACTTTCAGAACCGAACCACTTCTATTTCCTTTAAAAATCCTAAACCTAAGCTGACCTCTGACCCCTGACCTTTCTTTAATCACTTATTACATCCATAAATCAGATGACTTGTGTTTACTAACTAAAGTTTACTTCTGCGCATGCGCTCACTTTTTTTTTCAAGAACTTTATTGAACAAACAGGAAGTAGACAGAAGACACACTCAATAGAAACAAACAGGAGATAAAAGCACAAACTATTAGATATGAGTTGTTTCTGATGTTGATTTTATGTCTACTTAAGAAAAAGAGAAACATAAAGTGTCTTATCAAGTTCAATTTATGAATATTTGTATTTAGCCAGAATTACATTTATTATAAAAATATTATAAACATTAGAGCAGAGGGGGGTGACAGCTTTACAGCCAAATTATCCTAAGAAAAACAGTGATAGGAAACTTAAATCAGCTGTTTTTCCTCTGAACTCTGGTTATAAAAGAATGATCCCTGTGTTTTAGCTTAACAGAACCAGGAGAGGTTCTGGGTCAGTGGAACCGGGACACACAGAGGAACTTTAAATAGGCCGTTTTTCCTCAGGACTCTGGTTATTGAAGAATATCTCTGTGTTTTAGTTTAACAGAACCAGTTCTGGATCAGTGGAACCGGGCCGGCTTTCCTCTGGACTCTGGAGTTCCAGCTCGAATACAATGGGAGGAAAGCTGCAGTTTTCCTTCCAGATGACTTCATCGGAAAAACATGGGCGAGCAAGAGACACTGGCTCTCACTGGCTCTCTCTCCTGCCCCATCTCCATGGTAACTGCCCCCTCCCCCCTGGGTGTGGTAGAGAGACTCTGAGCTCCAGGCTGAAGGCAGAGAGAGAGCTTAACCCTTTGAGGGGCAGCAGAGCTGAAACCTGTTGCTGTCAGATAGTTCTGGTTCAGGGTTCTGGTCCAGTTGTCCGGTCCAGACGTCCCTGTGGGTGAAAGGTGTGTGAACAGAGCTGGTGTCCACAGTGTGTCTTCAGTCGGTCCCGGCTGCAGCAGGGAAGGGGTTAAAGGTGTGGACGTTTCCACAGAAGGAAGTTATCTGGAAAGTTTCCCTCCCAGCAGCCAATCAGAGCGCAGCTCTCTGACTGCAGGCGAACAGAGTTTGGGTGTTTTCTCCACTGCAGGAGACTCTGCTTACTCCTCCGTCGACATGGTGACCACCGAGTCCCACCAGAACCAGGACCTGATGGTCCCCGCCGACGCCCCAGACCTGAACCTCAACCTGGACTCGCAGGGCGAGGAGCAGGCCTCTGGTTCTGCTGCCTTTGACCCGGAGAAGCTGGGTCAGGGTCCAGTCAACGCCATCACGGTTCTGACTCTCCTCGACAAGCTGGTCAACATGCTGGACGCTGTGCAGGACAACCAGAACAAGATGGAGGTGAGTGGACGGGTTCAGGGTCCAGAGTCCAGTTAGAACAGCTGATTAAACCAGAACCAGACCAGAAGGTGGAGGAACATCTGGGCCAGACCCGGGCTGTGGTTCTGCTCCATGTTCTGACACACCCTCAGAGTTCCTCCTCAGGAATGTGGATCCCACTTCCTGTTGGTGCGGAGCCGAGGTAAGACGTCACATCCCTCCAGGTGTGTTTACCAGTACCACCTCAGGAACGGACTGGACCTTCTGCAGAACCGCAGCTGTCAGCGAGTGTCTGATGACTGAGAAGGTTTTGTCTGTACTCTGGGCTCTGGGGTGACCTGTGACCCGGTTCCGGGTGTGTTTCAGATGCACCAGGTCCAGATGGAGAGCGTGGTCAGAGGGATCCAGGCAGACATGACCCGGCTGTCCAAGAGTCACAGCCACACGTCCAACACCGTCAGCAAGCTGCTGGACAAGAGCCGCAAGCTGTCCGTGACCATGAAGGAGGTCAGTGAACGCACCAGCACACCTGGAGCACCTGGCGGACCGTCCTCCATGTCCTCCATGTCCTCCATGTCCTCCATGTCCTCCATGTTGTGTCTCTGCAGGTCCGGGAGAGGATGGAGCGTCAGGGTGCCCAGGTGAGGAAGCTGGAGGCGAATCACGCCCACCTGATCAGCAGGAACAACTTCAAGGTGCTCATTTTCCAGGTAGGTGCGAAGTCACCAGATGCATGCTGGGAAATGTGGTCCCAAAGAGGGCTGCCTGGCTGTTCTTCAGCCACTAACCTTATTTGGATATGTGCTGCTGTGGGAGCCAACCTGGAAAATCTTCAGAGGGGGCTGTGGTTGTCATGGTAACGGAGTTGTTATGGGCTGAAACCACAACCTGCTGGTCCAGCTCTGTGGCTGAAGGTCAACTCCTCTCCTTCTGCCTCCTGTCAGCAACACGCAACATTCCCAGAACATTTCTCAGAACATTAGAACATTCCTCCAATCCTCCCAGAACATTCCAGCACCCAGCTTCAGTTATTACTGGTAGAAACTAATAATCAGGCCCAAAATCTGACCAGAACTTTCAGAAACACATAAGGACAGTTCCAAAGTCAGCCTTCTGTCACCTGACGCCGTTGTGTTTATGATGTTTTTAATGTTTTCCTGATGGAAAGCACTTTGAACTGCCATGCTGCTGAAATTGGAAGCAAAAGTAAACCTGATTGATTGATCAATCCTTCCAAAACATTCCCAGCATTCCTCTGTCTCTGGGTCAATGTGTGTATTGTGGTTTCCTTGTGTCTCCCTGTTACTGTGTCTGTCCATCCAGTCCACACCTTCTAGGTGGGTCCGGTTCTGACGCGGTGCCTTGCTCTGTTGCAGGAGGAAAACGAGATCCCGACCAATGTTTTCGTGAAGGAGCCTCCTCCGTTTCCTCGCGATGAGATCCTGGAGGAAGGCGAGCCATCTGCTCCGGGTGTCAGCGATGACAGGCAGGACGGGGCCTTCCAGACCATCGACCTGTCGTCTGACGAAGATGTTGGCCTGGAGGCCGACATGGATGAAGAGGAGCCGTGGCCTCAGGATCTGGACAGCATGGAGAAGTCCACAGCGGATAAACTGAAACGGTCCAGCCTGAAGAAGGTAGGAACCACAGGAAGCAGACCTCCAGGTGTTGGATCAGTCAGACAAACGATATTGTCTCTGTCTCTCTGCAGGTGGACAGCCTGAAGAAAGCCTTCTCCAGACACAACATCGAGAAGAAGATGAACAAGATCGGGACAAAGATCGTTTCAGCAGAACAACGGGAGAAAATCAAGCAGAGAACTGCCAGCCTGAAGGTCTCCCCTCTGACCTTTGGCATCAAGAAGGTACAGAGACTCTCGCTGGTCACCTGACCATCAGACAGTCTTTGAAAGTCTCAGTTCAGACTAAAGATGTTCTTGTGTCCTTCAGCCTCGCAGAAGCTCAGACTCCCAGCCTCCGGAGGCCTCAGGCCAGAACAGGGAGTCCCTCACCGCCGAGGTCGACATCCAGCTGCCCTCACCAGGCTCCGCTGAGCTGGAGCTCCCCTTCACCGAGGTCCACGCCCAGCTGGCCCCTAATGACCAGCAGGAGGTGCTCCAGGACCAGGTGGAAGCAGTAGTGGAGGTCAGGGAGGAAGTAGAGAAGGAGCTGGAGATTGTGGAGGAAGTCAGGGAGGAGGTGAGGGAGGGTTCACTGGTGGTGGAGGCTGACGTGTCGGTGGTCTCTGAGGGACTCAGTGAGGCGTACGCTCTGTCCTCCACCCTCCCTCAGGAGGATGGAGCAGAGGAGAAGGAGAAGGAGGAGGAGGAGGAGGAGTCCTAAGCAGAACATGAGTGTTAGATCAGATCAGTCAGAGTGTCCAGACCTTTCTAAAGGAACTCCTCTCAGTTTGAACCAAGAACAACCAAAAGGTCTTCTGCTTTATTCCTCAAACTTTCCATTAAAAGTCAACAATCACATTCTCCCAAAAGTTTTCCAACCTTCTCCTCTGATAAACCTCTCAGAGATCAAACCACCATCACAGAGCAGAACATGTTGCTCCTTTAGGTCTGAAGGTCAGATTTATTTGATCATAGATGATCGGACCCTGATGAACCCTGATGTTCTGACAGGTTTGAAGTCTACATGATGAAAATCATCTTGAATTCTTCTCATTTGAAACCTGATGGCTACATGTTGGGATCCATGGTTCCTATCAGTGTCTGGACTTCAGCCGTTCTTCTCCATTTTACCATTTTATTTAATTTCCATCAGAAAAACATGGGAAATGTTGGGTCCAACCTGATCAAGGACCTTCTGCATCTTGAAATGAGGGGACCTTCAGGGCAGAGTGGGCTCAGGAACCTCCAGGGTTACCGTCCTCCCTAAGAGCAGACGCTGAATCTGCAGGTTCCTGTGAGAATCCATCCAGTAGGTTTGAATCAAACCCTGTTGGAATCAAATTCTAGTGGGTTTCCATTAGTGGTCTTTGTTTTATATTTTCCCAACCAGGGTCTTTTAGATGTGGCCTGATAACTGAACCCCCTCTCTCTGAGGTTCTTCTGATGATCTCCAGTCATCCCTCTGACCAGGTCTCATTCATTGCTCTATGATGTTCCTAAGGGAACACCCTCTGCGGTTGATCCAAGTTTTTTTTTAATGTTTTGACATTCCAAGGGGTTTTCTCTGTATTCCTTGTATTTCTCTAGAAGTTTCCACAACATTCTGTCGCACCTCCTAAAAATCTCTGCCAGACTTTCAGCAACGTTCCAGCGTCTCCCCAGTGTTCTCCCAATGTTCTACGCCTGACCATTTAGTAGTCGTCCCTCCTTCTCCTCTGGTTCCACCAGTGTTTGTTTTCTGAATACGTCCTGCTTTAGATTCATCATGCTCCTGGTTTTCCGTTCACCAGGTTTCAGTGGTTCTGTTGATATTCTACCAAACGTTCTCTGATCATCTCAGTGTTCCTGAACTCCAGACGCTAGAAAGGTGAATCAGTGCCTGCCAGCTGTCTCACATTATTGATAACATTATTGATGATTTGCGATTCCAACTGATTGATCTAAAATGGTTAATTTTTGTTTTTTTGTTTGTTTTGCCAAAGATTATTTCCTTCTGCATCTCATCTCTGGTGTTGATTGAACATTTCTTGTCCTAAAGTCTCCAGACTGTCTGAATTGTGGTGTATGTCTTTAGTTATGCTTATGAGCTCAGTGTAATACAGGCTCCTCTGCTTTGCCTCTCTGAAGCCACCTGCTGATAGATTGTTGTAAATATTGTTACACTTTTTCTGTTCTGTGCTATAAAAGTTTTAACTCTGTAGGTCAGAGGACACGCTTTCCTCACCAGATAATAAACCTGACGGTGCTTTTCACCTTATCAATGCTTGTATAAATTCTTTTTTCCTACAAAACTCTGTAGTCAATAAACTATCACACACACACACATGAGTGTTTCCTGTCTCTGATGTTCTGGAACCAAAAGGGCTGGATAAATGTTGTTGGAATCAGAGGAACATCTATGATCAGCCAGGTAGATCTGAGAGTCTATGTGGAGATACGGTTTTAGTGTGTCTTTGGATCCCGGCCCTCATGTGAGAGAGACAGGAAGTGGGGTGGTCTCTTCAGCAGCCAATGGCAGAACAGGATTGGTGATATCAAACAGAAGGACCAATCAAAGTGAGCGGGACGGTCCAGAGTTGGGTCCAGTCTCTGCACAGTAAGATCAGACGGCCCAACTGAACTGAAGTATTTATGCAGCATACACAGTGTAGTACTGAGTATTTCCTGTGAAGTACGCAGTGCGGTACCGGTACCATGGACTCTGAGGCTCCCCCCACGCTCTCTCTCGTCTCTGTGTTGTCTCTGCTGGGCTGTAGCCTCCAGCTGTTGGTGGCTGCCCTCCTCACACACAGGTATGGTGGGCGGAGCTCCAAGACGGACTGGTGGATCCTGCTGTGGCTGTTCTATGATGTCATCGTCCACCTGACGCTGGTAGGAGGAGTTTCTTCTTGTTTAGCAACTCTCTGCTGTTAGCTCTGAGTGTCTTCTTCACCACGTCAGGAACTGACCTTTAAACTGTCTAAGAATTGTGCTCTTGTATTGTGTTTACCATTCTTTGGGTTCTCTTTGTCTTCCGCCCCAGTACTGTACTTGTGTTGTTCGTTTTGTTTTATGGGTTTCTGAACTGCTTTTGAAGATTTCACTGTTTTCCAGATATTTTGGATTCATTCACACCAACCCTGGTTTAGTCCGCTTTAATCCATCTCTAGTCCATCTGCCTAGAAAGTCCGGTTCATTTTGGGTGGGGGGGGTGAATGGATAATCAAACTCTGGTCCTCCAAACTTCGATCTGCGTTCAGTTGAAAATGCCTATGTGGACGGAAGTAGACCACAGTGCAGGGTATTATGGGTAAATAAAACCAAAACGAATGAGTTAGCCTAGTGCTAGTGGGAGAAAATCTTGTGGATTTTAGCCAAAGAAAATGTATATTGGTCGCTAAAATCTGACCAATATACATTTTTGTATCCATTTGGTGAAGAAGGAAGTTGCCCTCGTGTCTTCTTCAGAAGTTTCTGTGCTGTTCCCTTTAGTGGTTCTTGGTGCAGCGCCCCCACAGGCCAGAAGGCGCCACATTGTTTACCTGGACAGAAACATCTGGACTGACCATCAAATATTAAAACAGCATCTCCTTTGTTGGCTCTTTTGATCTGGCTGACTGTCCCTTTTGTCCTCAGGAGGGTCCGTTTGTTTACATGTCTCTGGTTGGGACAGTGGAGACATCTGAAGGTCCTCTGGCTGAACTCTGTGAGTTTTGTCTTGTACTGCTTTGTATTTCTGTGTCATTCTGTAACTCGCATATACCATTAAAGAGTGTCCTTAATGTTTCTAAACTACACCCATCAACCAATCAGAGAGCTGCCTCTGACTTGAATCCAGACATAAACATTGAAGGCCCTTCATCACCTCTGTCTTACTCCACAGTATCAATTTCCAGAGATGGAAGAGTTCTCATGGAGTACTATTTTACTTTTAAATATGTTTTTTAGTCCTTCAATATACCTGAAAGTTTTGATGCATGGTTTAACGTGTCAGCTCTGATCTGGATAAAATACCTGTCAACATGTAGGGAAGGAATACGGTAAAGCAGACAGTCGCTGGTTGGTTTCTGATCCAAACATCGTCTCCTTGGAGATTCTGACAGTGGTCCTGGACTCTCTGCTAGCTCTGCTGCTGATACATGCAGTGCTCAATGACAAGTACTACAGGTAATGCTACAGTTTCAATAAAGTACAAGATGCACTACCCATACAGCCCAAGTATTACATGTTACAAGGTATAGAATCAAAGTACTGCAGAGTATGCTAATGAAGTACCACAGATATTATTACAGTACATGCAGTGCTGCTAAAACCTGTTAGACTGGTTTTTATTCTTTGGTTTATAAATCAAACTGAGCCCTGAAACATTTCATCAGATTTTACCGCGTTTACATCTCTTCTGTTTACTTTGTCTTTTTCATTCAGTTTTTTATTCTTTAGTGCTTCATGTGGTCAAATGTGGGTCAACCAGATCTTAAATGGGCCGTTAAATCAGTCTGATTCTGATGAAACTGCCACATAATGACCTGTACCAGCTCGTAGTGACGGACATGTACTGATGGTGAAACGTATTTCAGACACTTCCTGCAGATCACTCTGAGTGTGTGTGAGCTGTACGGCGGCTGGATGACCTTCTGTCCTGATTGGCTGCTGGGCAGTCCTCACCTAGACACGTCCAACCCGCTCTACCTGTGGGTCTACCTGGTCTTCTTTAATGGACTCTGGGTCCTGGTCCCGGTTCTGCTGCTGGTCCAGTCCTGGTTGTGTCTCCAGAGTCTTCATGCAGTCAAAGAAGACAGAGCATCGGCGCAGAGGAAGAAGCTGTAGTCAGTGAACCTGTGATTGGGAACCTTTCACTGTTGAGCTCATCGTTTTCTCAGACTGGTGACAGAAATGATTTTGTAGCAGGAAGGAACCAATCATATAGCTGGATCATCACTAAAACTTTTATTAATCTCTATAAATAAAATCTTGAGTTTAAACGTGTCTCCTGTAGATGTGGATCTCCTTTCCCGCTCCTCTCAGCTCCTCTTGATCAGCTTGTTGACCTTCAGGAAGGCCTGTTGCAGACCCAGCCCCTTGGTGGCGCTGCAGGCCTGGATCTCCCACTCTCTGTCTGTGTAACTGTTCAGGTTCAACTTGTTGGACACCTGAGGAGAAGATTAGACTCTTTATTTTCATGGTCTACAGTGGATCCAGTGTCTATCCTTCACTTTGTTGCTTGTTAATTTTGATCTTCAGTCCATTTGTTGTCCTATGATGTTGACTTAAAAGAACAGAGTTCTGGCAGAACCTCCAATATGAAATCAAGGCTATTCTATTTTGTCAAAGAGATGACTTTGATGTCTAGAGAAGATGGGAAGAGCCCAAAGATCCAACATGGTGCTTCCTTATATAGTTCTTGTTCTCTAATGGTTGCCATGGGACCCCAAACGGCTCTTGTCTCATGGATGCTCCCAGTGAACCATAAGGTTCCTGCATCCTACATAACTAACAAGGTAAGGCTGACCACAGAAGGGATCTGAACTGACTCTTTCTCTCATTGACCAATAAGTGTTACATCAAGCTTCCCTCTGTCGCCACCTGCTGCACAGTTTGAGGTAGCGCTACAGGCCAATCTGCTGGGTTTTCTTAGAGGTTTCATTAATTTGAACAATAAACTGAACTTGATTCATTGTTGATTGGGACGTATATGACTGACTTGAATCTGTCTGCCTGATTTATCCTCTTCGTTCTGTTGATGATCAGTTTATTGGTCTGCACCGTCTGAAGTGTCCCTACCTCCCGTATGGTCATGCTGTTGGGCAGATCCTTCTTGTTGGCCAGAACCATCAGAGGAACTCCTCGCAGCTTCTCGTCGCTCAGGATGCCCTTCAGAGCCATCTGCGCCTCTGGAATGCGAGCCGCGTCGGTGCTGTCCACCACGAACACCAGCGCCTTGCACTCGTCCAGGTAGTACCTGCAGGACATCCGTTATCCCTTTGGCCGGTTGCTAGGGAGACACACCTGCTGGGTGTTGTTTACTCACTTCCAGTTGGGTCTCATGCTCTTCTGTCCGCCAATGTCCCACAACGTCAGAGACGACTGCTTGTTCAGCTCCAGTGTTCCCACGTTGAACCCCACGGTCGGCGAGGTGTTGACTGCCTGATAAGGTAAAAGGTTTCATGAGAACACCTGAGGGCTGATGACCCTCACGATATTCTGAGACTCACCTGTCCGGTCAGGATATGGGCCAACAGGGTGGACTTCCCCGCAGAGTCCAGACCCATGATCAACACCTGGACAGAGGAGGACAGGCTTCAGGTTAACACTCAGCTGGTTCTGGTGCTGAAGTCTTCCAGTCTGGATCCCAGAGGAGATTTAGGCTAGAACCAGAACCGAACCAGAACCAGAGGAGTTCCACCTTTCAGGACCATGAGATGGTTTATCAAAGCAGTTACTCTACAAGCTGTCAGGGCTGGACAATGAGTCATTTACAATAAATATCACAATAGACATCTGATCCAGAACCACACAGCATTCTGGGCGATGTAGGCGGAGGAAAGGTTAAAGCTACTTAACCTTTCAAGGCTAGCTAAGCTATGCTGGTGACATCAACAACAAAAAAAATACTCAGTTGAATGTTTTCTTTGTTGGTCCAGAAAATGTTTTTAGTCGATTCTCTGAAATGACTGAAAGAATTTAAGTGAAAAACCTTTGGTGTATTCAGCCAAGTCTGGTTCTGAGTAGACAGTGACTGGATATTTGTGATCTTATCTACTAGGATATTAAAATGAAAGCAGCAAACAAAAACAAAACATGACTAACAAAAGAAAACACTATGTACAAAGCTACAGTTAAGAAGATATAAATTAGTCATTAGAAACCCGCCCTTTAAAAAAAAAAAAAGTGTTTTTATGCTTCGGTTCGTTTGTGGTCAATGGACCTCGCAAAATTACTTCAAGGGCCACAAATGGCCCCTGGGCTGCACTTTGGGCACCTGTGGTCTAAAAGGTCTTTAGGATGAGTTTGTGGTCTGATAGGAACCATGTGGACCATCAAACTCCCTGAAAACCTGAGATGTTCAGAACCTGTGGGTTCCTTTAAAACAGGACTGGAAACATTTCTGGGTCACAGCAGTTCTGGATCAGAACTGGACGAGAAAATGTTCAAAACGTTTGATTCTTTCAGGCCTTGTTTTCTTCTTCTGGTCTTTTCTTTGACATCCTGTAAGGGACAAATGTCCATCTGTCTGGACCTCCTGATGGAGCGGATCCAGAGGTTCTGGTACTCCTGATGGAGCGGATCCAGAGGTTCTGGACAGGCAGTAAGTCCTCCAGGTATGTGGGCTTGTCCCAGAGCTTTGAGGTATTCCTAACTCCTGATCCAAACCAGCAGAGGTGAGTTTACTGGATCCATTTGGTTTATCAAACATCTCCATTTAATGAAACTGGTTCCGGTCCAGCTGATCCAGATGAAGGAGAGAACCGGATCCAATAATCAACCAAAGAGAGGAAAATAAGGGACTCACCTGAGGGCAGGCGGAGCTGCCCTGGCCCATCGCTCTGGAGCTGTAGAATCAGTCTGACTGGATCTCTGACAGCCCTCGGGTGTAGCTGACCCTCTCTGATTATCAGCCTATAGCAGCCCTTGCTGCTGCCCATGTGGCCAATAGGATGGTCTGACTGCATTCCTGTTCAGACACACCTGGCCTGCTGAGGAGTCAGCAACAGGTGAGAGCGGCTGAGCAGGAAGTCATGTGACCATGTTGAAGATGAATATGGAAATCAGGCTGTCAAAGAAAACCTGTTTACCAAAAGTACATCACTGCTGCTTCTTTAATAATCATTACATGAATAGTGGAAGAGTATACCTCATAACATTTAAGCAATATTTGCTTCGCAGTCTTCTCAGGCAGTTCTTCCTTCCACTTAATTTCCCATTGAGTTGGATATTGAGATTGGCCTCCCTCCACACTCGTTTTATGTGAGAGGTTTAAATCATTTTAATGGGTTTTATGTGATATTATAAACTTATTTAGGAGTTTTATTCTCTCTGGAGCCACCAGATTATCTCTATCATAACTGAAACATATTGTAATTTATGGAAGACCCTGCTGGACCCCTGAAGGAGGAGGAGCAGAATCCGCTGAGGAGGAGTCAGAATACTGCCTATATATCCTCCTCCCTCCTCCTCCTCCTTCCTTCTTCCTCCTTCTTCTCTGGTTCTTCAGCTCCATCATGGGCTTCGGTGACCTGAAATCAGCCTCCGGACTCAAAGTCCTCAACGACTTCCTGTCGGACCGCAGCTACATCGAAGGGTGAGTCCAGTAGAACCTGGCAGAACGTCCCGGTAGAAGCTCCTGCAGGGTTCAGCGAGGCTGCCGCCATCTTGGCTCAGCTCGTGGCTAACAGTTAGCTTCAGGTCCGGCGATAAATTGAGCTACACTAGAGCTCCATGAAGCCGGAAGTGTTCATGGTTTTACATAAACATATGAAAGCTGATGGTAGATTAATTGACTTCATAGTTTAGATCAAAATATTTGGTTTATTTGGGTTTAATGTGGCGTACTGTGCTGTCACATGGTGCTAACAGCCTCTCTGCGGCTGCGCAGTGGCTGCTGTAGGTTCTGTAAGCTCATGCTGGACCTAAAGTCGGTTCTAAACTCAGAACCAGAGACATTAGAAACTAGCTTAGGAGTTTTAATATTACTGAGACTACAAATCGGGTCTAGGTCTAGCATCTAAACCTGGTCTGATCTGGCAGGATTCTGGTTCTGGTCCATTCATTCTCCAGTCCAGGTTAACCAAGCCCAAGTGGTCAGGTTTTCGGTCTAGACTCCAATAACAGGGGGAAATGCACCTTTAGAGATCAGCTGAGTCATCTGTAACCATGGTAACCCTGTCCTCCACAGGTTTGTCCCCTCTCAGGCTGATGTGGCGGTCTTTGACGTCCTCTCAGCCCCTCCCCCAGCAGACCTGTGCCATGCCCTGCGGTGGTACAACCACATCAAGTCGTACCAGAGCCAGAAGAACAGGTGAGCCCGCCCCCATCGTCGTCATCCTCGGGTCAGAGTGCACAGGTGTGACCAACGCTTCCTGGCTGTCAGCCTCCCAGGTGTGAAGAGACCTCTGGGGCAGTACGGCCCTCCGGGAGTGGCCGACGCTACCTCAGGCTCTGCCCCTGCCGCCGCCGATGACGATGACGACGACATTGACCTGTTTGGTTCTGACGAGGAGGTGAGGACGTTATGATGTCATGGTGACGTCACAGGGGAGCTCAGGTTTGGTGTTAAACCCTGGTCTTTGTCTGTCAGGAAGACACCGAGGCGACCAAGCTGAAGGAGCAGCGCCTGGCCGAGTACGCCGCCAAGAAAGCAAAAAGTACGTCACTCAACCAATCACAGGACACCTCACCTATCACATGACTGCCCTATAGAGTCAAACTACCTTCCATGTGGCTCTGGATGATGAGTAACCAATCACCATCTTTCGGCTGACTGCCTGATGGACAGCTGTTTTTACCTGACGAGTCTCCACCAATCAGAGCAGCATGGTGGGGTTTCCTTGGCAACTGACTTCTACTTCTGTCTCCTACTAGAGCCCGCCCTCATCGCTAAATCATCGCTCCTATTGGACGTGAAGCCATGGGACGATGAGACGGACATGGCCAAGCTGGAGGAGTGTGTCCGCAGCATCGAGATGGACGGGCTGGTCTGGGGACAATGTAAGAGGACCGCACACAGTACTGGGACCAGTACCTGTAACACAGTATCACACAGTACCCCAGACTAGGTGTAGCTGCTCTGCACAGCTGATGATCCATCTCACCATCTTTCGGCTGAAGACTGATGGACACTCTTTGATCTGACCGCTGCAGAAACTGATCACATTCATCCATTAAACATTAAACAGTTTTATTGACGGGTAATAACCAACCCATGGTGTGATCTGTGCAGCCAAGCTGGTCCCAGTAGGCTACGGCATCAAGAAGCTCCAGATCAGCTGCGTGGTGGAGGATGACAAGGTGAGATGCTTAAAGAGCGACTCCTGGTTGGTTCTGAGTGTCTGCCAGGGGTCTGACTGAGTGTTTCCTGTTGCAGGTGGGCACAGACATCCTGGAGGAGAAGATCACAGCCTTCGAGGACTTCGTGCAGTCCATGGATGTAGCAGCTTTCAATAAGATCTGAGTTAATCATGTTTAATAAAAAGCACTTGGCATAAAACAAACAGCTGTTGAGTCTTTAATCTCAGGGGAAATGTTTAGTCCAGCTTTAAAGTTAAAACGATGATGGTTGAAACACTTAAATTTATAAAACCTGAATTTCTCCAGGTTAATCTGAATGATGAGGTGAATTTATCACCTTAAAATCGCGTGTATGAGGCTGCAGTTCCTCTATGTGGCCGCTAGCGGCGACACAGTTTAAAGATCTCTTCCACATGGAGCAGAAGAAGACTGGACCGGAAACTAAACAGCAGTGGAGTAGCGCTCGGCGGAAGAAGATAAATAATCCGTAAAAACAGCAACCAGCGACCTGCTGCAGGTAAAAGAACCCGACAGTCAGTCGTTCTAGGCGGCAGTGACGGGACCGGACCGCCGCTGACGAGTTCCGTGCTGCCGTTAAGCTCAGGAGTTAATCGGCTAACAACATAGCTAACCGGAAGCTGACCGCTGTGACACGTCAGCAGCGCTGTTGCCATGGTTAAAGACGACCCGATTTAATCCCTATTTGCACCCAGAATACGGAACCGAGACTTTAATTGACTAAACATGGGTTACTATTTTAGCAAGAAGTGCAAGCCGATTGGTTAGAAATACATGAAGCTAAACTGTGATTGGTTAGAGTGAAATCAGCTGGCGTACAATTGGTCAACAGCGAGGAGAGCGGTGCTTTGATTGGATTAGAGTTAGACAGGTAACTGAAAACTATCATTACCGGCAGGTGTTAATCCAGGCTGAATAATCCATGTTACCATGGTTATGTGTATCAATACCGGGTCCAGTACTGAGCTCTTTTAGGAGGTAACTGTTCTGTTGAAGATCAGGCTCCACCAGAATAGTTCTGATGGGTTTGACGTGACGCTGGGTGAGGTTTACCTGAGTCTAAACACACTTCTGAGCATGTGCAGAGGCAGCATCACCATAGCAACCAGTGTGGCTGTCTGCTTCCCTTTCAGGCTCATGGACTCTGGAGCTCCCGCCTCGTTGCCGTTAGTTACAGCATGGAGCGCTCTGATTGGACAGACCCTCTGACTGCACCGCCTCCAGGTGAGTTGTCTTGTGTGGATGTGTGTGTTCACCATGTGCAGGTGTGTTATTAGCTGTATGTGTTCCAGGTGTGCCATCAGGATGTCCGATGAAGGTAACCAGAAGGAGGCGGAGCCTCCCAGCAGGTAAGCTTACCTGCTGGCAGACATCAATAAAGACATCAGAGACAGTCATCAATAAAGGTAAGCTATAGGTGTTCTCTGTCTGGCAGGATGTTGGAGGAGCCAGAGCCCGGTCCATCCAGGTGTGAGCCCAGCAGGCAGGGTTACTGTGGTTACTGCAGAGTCCTCTACACCAGCCTGGACCAGGTACAGGAACACCTGAGTTTAGACTGAGTCTGGTGTCACTCAGGCTCCTGATGACATCATCACCATGTGTCCCACACAGCACCTGTCCAGCCTCAGACACCTGGATTCCGTCCGGGCGTCCGCCAAAGGCTCCGCCGCCGTGTCCGTCACCAGGGGCAACCAGAGCAGGCTGACGCTGCTGGAGCGCTTCCTGCGGGACGTCCAGGAGCACCACCCTCATCGCTACGACGATGCCAGGTGAGCAAAATAAACACACCTACACTAACGCAACAGCCCAGCTGTTGCTATGGGTAACCTGTCCGTCTGCGTCTACCAGGCCGTCCCACGCTGACCTCCCATCTGTCTCCGCACCCCCGCTACCGAAGGCGGAGCTTGATGAACTCTGTTCCTCTGACGGAGACGGACAGTCACTAGGCACTCGAGAACACCTGCCCAGCTCTGATGACGCTTCCTGTCAGCCAGCCAATCAGGAGACAGAACACAGCTTCCACAGCCAATCAGGCGACCAGGACGAAGGACGAGCATCTTCTCCGCCCTGTTGCACAAACACTCCACCCTCTCAACAACAAGCCCCGCCCACTCAGCCCCAGGCACCGCCCCCTCAGTCTCCACCTCTTCAGCATCAGACTCCGCCCCCTCAGCCTCAGGCTCCGCCCTCTGTCCACAGAAAAGCCCACAGGAAGACCAACCGGAGGAAACTCAGTGACTCTTCATCATCCACTCAGGCCCCCAGGGGCCTGAGTGGCAATCAGCTGGACCTGATTGCCAGCCAAAGGGTCCAGGCCCCTGCAGAGGCAAAGGTCCAAACTTCATCAGGACCAAGGGCCCGGTTCTGCTCAGACTTGAAGCCCCTGAAGCCCCAGAGGTCCCAGAGGCCCTTTGTGAGTTGGCAGAAGGAGAGGAGAGCGGTCCAGAAGGCGGAGGCGTTTTCCACCCACAGCGACCCGGTGGAGCAGACCATTGAAGAGGTCGGTGGTTCACCCAGGGTTTTTCACAGTGGGGGCCTCTGGGGGGCACTAGAGAGGTGGAAGGAAGGTCATGGAAACAATTGAACAATGTAGAAAAAATGAAATACAATAAATGTAATTTTTAAAAAATATAAATAACTGAACATCAGATGAATAAAGTAATTTCCACCCAGGTGTGAGGCAGCATTTATGCTAAATGAATAATGAATAAAACTGAAAACCTATTAAAATGTTTCTTTCATGTTTTGGAGCATCTTCTGTGGGTGTGCAGACCTGGGGTTAACCAGCCAATCAGAGGCAGAGCTGATGTCACCTGACCTGTCCCCTCTGAACCCTCCCAGGTGATCCAGATGTGCTGCTACAGCATCACTTCAGCTCACCACCAGCAGGAGGAGACAGAGAGCCTCCATCTCAGCCTTCCTGTCTCCGTGGAAACGCAGAGTGAGGATTGGGACACACCTGTACAGGTATGTATCGGGGGTTTGGAGGGCGGTTCTGTTTCTCCAGGTTCTGACTGTGATTCTGCTCAGCAGGTGGTTTTAAAGAGACCTCACCTACCTGTCCAGGTGAGCCAGACAGAGGGGCGGGACCTGGGCCGCCTCATGGACGTCCAGGTGGACATGGAAGACCAGGTGTACTCCAGCCAGCTGGACTGCGCCCTGCTGGGCGGGGCGGGCCAGCAGGACCAGGGCTTCTGGGACGTCCCCATAGAGGACGTTCTGCCAGTCCCACAGCATATTCCAGAATCCTTCAGGGGGAAGACCTGGACCCAGATTGAGGAGGAGGACGAGGCCCGCGTGGAGAGGCTGGTCCAGCAGTTCAGACGGGGCAGATTCATCTGCTACTTCGACACAGAGTCGCTGGCCAGGTAACAACACCTGCTCACCTGTTCAACTGCTAACTCACCTGATCAAAGGTGAACATCTTTACATCCATTCCTAGTTGTTAGCTTTCTGGTTCACCTGTCTAAACATGTAATCAGACAGGACGTTTCATCTGGAGCAGTTCATTAGTCTGATATACACAGGTAGTCATCTCAGGTGTTCTCAGGTGATGATTTAACCTCAGGTGATCTGTTTCTTTCAGGTTTGGCAGGCGGAGGAGGAAGGAGGCCCCTGAAGCCCAGGAGGCGGAGCCAGACACAGGTGTGCTGCCCTTGGTGGACCAGGATGATAATGATGACTCTGGTTGTGTGAGGATGAGGATGAGGAAGAGGAGGCGGAGGCGGAGCTTCAGAGTGGCGTCCAGATGTCAGGTGAGCAGGACGGGTTGGGTCAAATTTTCTCTCTTGGAAACAAACGTCTCACCTGGTTTTGTCCTCCCAGGTGGTTAAAGTGAGTCACGGCACTCAGACGCTACGATTGGTTATCCCGACTGTCCATCAGCTGTCCTCAGAGGCTCCACCCACCAGCCACCCTGCAGCCAATGAGAGAACCCCTGAGTCCCAGGCGTGGCATTCGCTGCCAGCGTGTTACTCCAGCATCGTTACTCCTGTCCAGCCCCGCACCTCGCTGGTCTACCTGCTCTGCTCCCCGTCCTGCTCTGCTGGCGCCCCGCCTGCAGGCTCCGCCCCCAAGCGCTGCAGAAGGAGGCGGAGGCCTGTTGACCTACAGAGGCTAAAGGTCAAATACAAAAGACTTCCTGTTAAGTTCTACGAGCCAGGGACCAATCAGATCCTCAGAAACCCTCCACAGGCATTACTGAGACCCAGAGGCCCCGCCCCCTCTGGCCAGCCGCCGCCGTGCGTCCGTCAGCTGTTCCGGAGTCTGAGTCCTGACCTCAACATGGACCGCCGGCCGGGGGAGGGGCCTAAAGGCGACGCGGCCCTGATGAGCGCGCTCAGTGCAGACTCTGGGACAGAGACCGTCAGGAGGACAGGAAGGGTTCCTCAGACTCCGCCCACCGGGAGAGAGAGGGGCAGCAGGCCACGACCCCCACCCTCCCAACGGAGGACCAGGATTCAAGCCCCGCCCCCTCCGCCCAGGAGGGAGGGGCTTCGACGAGCAGCGCCCAGCAGGAAGCTCCTCAGCTCCACAGGCCACGCCCTCCCGGCCCCCCGCAGAGGGCGGAGCCAGAGAAGGCGCGGCTGTGAGAGGGGGGGCAGGTAGCATGACGGACTGGAGCCACAAGGACACCGCTACACCTGTCCCAGCTCACCTGGGCAGGTGTAGACATTCACCAGGTGTTAATCTGACACTAATGAAAACTCCACTGTGCAATAAGAAGTTAGATCATTTCCTCTTTGGTGTAAAAAATGGCTGACAAAATAAATTATTTTCTTTATGGATAATCTGTTTTAATAATTTTGTAGGTAAAGAACGTTTTTACAAATGGAAACCAGTACAGCTACATGTTTGTTGCCATGGAGACATACTTATTGACATCATTGTTTACTGTTCAGCGTTCGGCAGCTCTGTGTCTCCATACTGTTTAACAGGTGGCCATGTTTTTACCTTTTCTACCTGCGTGTTTAAATATTGGTCCAGAATAAAATTTTTCTACGAGCCACGCCTGCTCAGTTTGTCCTCACAGCGTCCACCAGGCGGGACACCGCATCCCCTACCTGCTCCGCTGCTGCCGCTAGCTCCGCCCTCACGCTCTCACCTGGAAGCAGACAAACAGAAGCTGTTCTTTCTGTTTGGGACAGGGAACACCTGGCAGGTGAGACAGGTGGTCCACCTGTTTGTCTGTCTCACCTGTGTGATTTATCTGTCCATTTATGTCTCACCTGTGTTTCTGTCTCTCATCCCGTCCATCTCCGTCTTCAGTCTGTCCACAGTCTGCTGCAGTAAGATTTCAGGACTACAAGTCCCAGGATCCTCTGCATCAGACAGAGAGGCGACATTTGTTTGTAGCCCCTCCTCCTCTTGGTCTGCCTGTCGTCCTATTGACTGACAATCCTTTAGTGTTTCCCGTCGTCCTATTGGCTCACAGTCCTCTGGCGTTTCCTGTCGTCCTATTGGCTGACAGTCCTTTAGTGTTTCCTGTCGTCCTATTGACTGACAATCCTTTAGTGTTTCCTGTCGTCCTATTGGCTGACAGTCCTCTGGCGTTTCCTGTCGTCCTATTGGCTGACAATCCTTTAGTGTTTCCTGTCGTCCTATTGGCTCACAGTCCTCTGGCGTTTCCTGTCGTCCTATTGGCTGACAGTCCTTTAGCGTTTTCTCCTCATGTTCATCATGTGACAGAGTGGATTTGCGTGGAATTGTGAGAGATGGAGTTTGAGGCTCCTTCAGGCTCCATTCATCCCCGTCCTTCATCAGCTCCTCCTCTTCCTCATCGTCGGTTGGCGGGTCAGAGGTCGGCGTGGCGGTTCCTCCCTCAGTGTGATCCGTGTTGTTGGCGTGTTGTTGAGCCTCCATCTTTCTCAGAGCCTGATGTAGAAGAACCAAACAAATAAACTACAGCTCCCATGATGCACCTGTCCCCCAGCTGCCAGCTACCTGGTTGAGCATGTCCTGCAGCCTTTCGTTGTGCTGCCTCATCGTTGCCATGGTGACCTCCATCTCAGAGCAGCGGTCCTCCAGGATGCCCTGCTCTGATTGGACAGTGAGGCGCCACGCCCCGAGCTGCTGCTCCAGCAGCCTGTGGGATCAGTTCAAACCAGTTAGACCAGTGGTGCCCAAAGTGGGTTCTCGAGGGCCGGCATCCTGCATGTTTTAGTTCTCTCCCTGGTTTAACACACCTGGATCAAATGATGGCTTGTTAGAAGCCCTAAGAGGAACATTGACAAGCTGGAAAGGTTGTTACTACAACCAGGGAGAGAACTAAAACGTGCAGGATGCCGGCCCTCGAGGACCCACTTTGGGCACCCCTGAGTTAGATCCTGGTACAGACCATACTGGGATGGTGCTGGTTCCAGCCTCACCACTTATCTCTCTTCAGGTTTCTGACTTCAGTCAGCAGCGCCGCCCCCTGCAGGAGGAGATGCGACATTACACTGCCTGAGAACGCCTGATGCTCACCTGGAGCTCCCTCACCTGCTGGGGGGGCAGAGCCTCATACGTCTGCAGAGACTTGGACGAAGTATGAGGAGGAGATGCCTGCACCGCGGCGTCCCGGGCCTCCTCTTCATCAAAAGAGGAAGAGCGTGCTGAGGCGGCCAATGGCGTCGCAGCATCAGAGGTGGGCGGAGCTCTGCAGGCAGAACGTTTCAACACAGGACTGCACAGGTTTACCCTGCAGCGCTCTCTCACCTGTTCTGGGTCTCTGCTGGCTCCGCCCAAGTCAAGACGCTTGTCCTATCAGTTTCTCTGTGAGTGTTTCGTCGTGGCAACAGGGCGTGACGAGCATTATGCATCAAGGAGGACAGAGATTCTCTCCAGGTGGGCTGATTACACAAACACAGAAACAAAGGTGGATCGCTTTAACTGTGCCTGAATGACCTCACCTGACTGGCCTGACCTGACTGACCTCACCTGTCTGACTTCACCTGACCTCACCTAACCTCACCTGAGTGCAGAACTCGACCACTGGGTGGTGTGTTTTGTGCTTCCTGGTCTGCCGGCCATTCAGGAAGCAGTCCTGACACACCTGGACGTTCACACACTTCCTGCAGCGATACCTGAGCACAGACACACAGCGGGTCTGGACACGTCTCACCTGAGTGACTCTCAGTCCTCACCTGGTCCAGCTGATCAAACTCACCTGAGCCCGGCGATGGGGAAGGCCTTACAGGTGTGGCAGCGGACGGCGTGGCTCACCTTCTGACTGGCAGACAGTCTGTAGAGAGTCGGTAACCATAGCAACAGCCGGGGCTCGCTCTTCAGCCACGAGAGGAGATGTGATTGGCTGACAGCTGGAGCCCCGCCCTGCAGATAGGAGGGGTCAGGTGAGGTCAGGTGAGGTCAGGATCACCTGCAGCAGAGCGTTAGTGTGTCCTCACCTGGTTAAAACAGGAAGTGACCGCTGTCTCCACGCTGCCGAACACTTCCTGCTCCTGGACCGCCACAGGAACCTGAACACTCAGTGGTCAGAGAGCTGGAGCACTGAGGCATGATGGGAAATGTAGTCCTACCTTGCTGAGGTCCTGCAGCAGAGAGCTGAGTCCAGACCTGGTGACGGATCCGGAGCCGTCCCCTGACAGACGAACCAGACCTGCAGGACAGAGCCAGAACCATCCGGGTCCATTTGGTTCTAGATGGTTCTGGTTCTCATCAGTACACTGGTAGATACTCACTCCTGTATTTGGCCAGCACGCTGTCCGCAGACAGAGCGACCAGAGCGGTCTGCAGAGACCGGGCCGACACCTGACCGGTCCCCTCTCTGAAACACAGCAGGTCCAGAATCAGCCAAGTCGTCTAGAAATCAGAACCGGACCTGGAGCCGATCAAACGGACCGATCAAACAGCCTGAACAGCAGACTGCCGGTCTCCTCTGATGCCGCAGCAGTCACTTCCTGGGACGCGCAATTAAACATCCTGTTGAGAACCTCGGCCACGCTTTCCCTGTTCAACATGGCGTCACTTCTGGGATTAGCCCCGCCCACCAGCTGGAAGGCTGCTGCGATGTGCTGAATGAAGATGGCGTCCACTGGAACGAAAAGACAGGTCACAAGGTCAACTGATCCATTAATATGAACTGATTCATTCAGTGATTCATTCATATGAACTGATTCATTAAAATGAACTGATTCATTCAGTGATTCATTAATATGAACTGATTCATTCATATGAACTGATTCATTCAGTGATTTATTATGAGCTGATTCACTCAGTGATTCATTAATATGAACTGATTCACTCCGCGATTCATTAATATGAACTGATTCACTCAGCGATTCATTAATTTGAACTGATTCATTCAGCGATTCATTAATATGAACTGATTCATTCAGTGATTCAATTAATATGAATCAATTCATTCAGTGATTCATTAAACTGAACCAATTCATTCACTGAGTCATTAATATGAATCAGTACATGATATGAACTGATTCATTTAGTTCATTAAAGGTGAACTAAACATGTTTAATGATTAACTGTCACTAAGTCCTGATGATGTGAATTAATGGAACCTTGAAGACTGAATCATTGAACTGAATCACTGAACCTGTTCGTTCCTCATGAACCAGTCACTTCAGAGTGAACTGTCCCAAATCAGCAAAGTGAATCGGTTCTGGTTATAATGAAAAAGTTCATTCATGACCTGAACACAGTCAGTTTAGGAACTGGTTTAGCTGAACTGGACTGCTGGTGAACTGGTGCAGAGCTGAACTGGGAAGGAACCAGTGAGTCTTACTGTGGCAGAACCTCTGCAGAGACCGGACCTTCATGGCGGTTCTGTAGACGGACAGACGGGCCTCAGTCATGGGTTCTGTTCAGAGAGCAACAAAAGAACTGTTCATATTGGAACTGACTGACTGGACCAATGACATCAGCAGGTCCAGGTTCGGCGGCCAGATGAGGTTCAAGGTTCAGACCAGAACCAGAACCAGAACCCCCGTCTGAACCTTCCTGGTTCTGAACAACAGAACTGATCTCACCTGTGCGGCTCGGATCCATGGAGATCCGCCGGTGGATTCCTTAGATCCTCCACAGAGAGTCAAACTCCGGGACTCACTCTACAGAACCAGAACCTGCTGGGTTGGTTCTGATCCACTTACCAGAACAGGAGCTGGATCCGCTTTCTTCTGGAGAGACGGAACAACAGAGGCTGATGGAGGAATGAGATAAAATCTGGGTTATTCTGACCTGAACCCAAGAAACCAGAACCAGAACTGGACCAGAATCAGAGCTGAACCAGACCAGGATCAGACCAGAACCAGACCTGGACCTTCCTTCATCAGGAGCTGCTGCTCATCAATGATGAATGAAGGTGTTACATTACATGGCTGCCGTTTCCCACCTGCTGCCCGACAGCCAATCAGCAGCCAGCAGCGCCGACCAATCAGAAGTTGGGAACTGGAGACTTCTGAGTCCAGACAGGTAAATTCAGACAGAGCTTCAGTTTGACTCTGACCACCAGAGGACGCCAACACAGGAGTACATGTCCAACAAAAGACTCAGAAATTTTGAGATTAATCCTAAAAAACTGAACAACTGAACAACAATAAAAAACAAGGAGTTTATTTATTATTTCACTTGTAAATTGGGAAAAATATCTTTTAAATAATCTGCCAGTGGAACTGTAACTTTTCCATCAATATTAATGATTTATTGACTTAATCTGCTCTTATATTTTGCTCAATCGCAGGGCCGTGCAGAGACCACTAAAGGGGCAGGTGCTCAAAAATAAAAAAGTGCTCATCTAACTGCATTTTAGGACAGAATATTAACAAAGCCACTCAGCTTTCAGAGTTTAATAAACAATGATAAATTACAAAACTGTGAGATATGCAATCAAAGCTAAGGAAAATCTCTATATAGAGCATACAACTATGCATATGTAAGATATTTTATTAGTAATTTCTTTCTGCAGGTCTATTTGGTCTATTTTGTTATAGGAAAGTACTGCAATATCCAAACCTGCAATTTAGCAAGATATGTAAATCAGAGCTAGACCACCAGACATATTTTGTCTTTACAGAATTACACTATTAAAAATATAAACAATTTTAGTGTACTGTAATCTATAAAAAACAGCTGCCTGTTTGCTACACTTGCAGTGCAGATGAAGACGGTCGATTCAGGGAAGCAGAGCTGCACCAAACTTTATCGTGGAACTGCAGTTTTTTTTTTCTGCAGAAAAAAAAAACACAAAAGCAAATATTGAACTGATAATACATGTTACCATGAGAAAAGCCTACTGAGTTTTGCTTAAAAAAACTTTTTAAAAACCTTAAAATCACACATTTTTGTCTCATGAAGTGAAGGAATTATTTGCAAAACAAGCTTATTTGCACATGTCAGAAATGTTTTCTTGGTATTCTAAGTT